TAGGAACAATAATTTCGGAAGACGAGAAATACGAGGAGGGACTGAATAGTTGTGTGAGGAAAGCAAACTCGGTATATTATCAAATAAGTAAAAACTTACTACGAATGAATGTAGGCACTAAAACAAGACCCCAAATTTACAAGGGAATATTCTGTATACATAGCAAAATTTATTCATGGAACTTAAAGTATGCCACATAATAGGAAAACAGAAAGTACAATTACACTAGTGGAAATGAAATTCCTACACAGGATAGTAGGGAAAACAAGAAGGGATCGGGCGAGTAATAATACAGAGAAAGTTACACTGCTACTCAAGGAAATGGAAAACAAGGCACTGAAGAGGTATGGATATGTTAATACAACGGCAGATGATAGAAAGCCGAATCATTGAGCTGAGACCTAATCTTAACAGTTTTGAAGGGGGAATCATTCTATGCTAAAATCAGCACCCCCCTGCGCCCAGCGGGTGGGGAGGCGGGCAACATTGAATTCTTAAATATGAACACCCATTTTTTTATTTCAGATTCGGATTCTACGAACAAAAATACATAAGTTTTGTCTGAAACTTTTTTCTGATTTGTGATAGGTGGAGCTGTAATCGCATCATGGATTATGTACCGTGCACCGTGTTATTCTTGATTGGTTATTGTTAAAAGTTGTCAGTTGATACCAAAATGCGGCCAGCGTCTGGTCTGTCTATTCAAACGAAGAGCCCGTTTTGTAGTCACGTGGTTCGTGACGTATCATGCTGCGCAGAACGAGCAAAAATCGGCGCAGCGGACCAGCTCAGCCATGTATTTTCGTCATGAGCACGAGATTTTCGCGGCTCGCGATAAGCTCAGCCACTGCGAGTCCCCGACTTTCGATAACTCCAGTTGCGAAGACTTGGAAGTCGACTATTTATAGTTAAAATGACGGGGCGGGATTCTGGAACGCAAGAAAACGTGATCAGATTATCTTCTCCCCCATAGGTCACATGCTGTTTTTACTGGTTTTTAACTAAATAAATCTAAATCTAAATGTCCTAAGATTTGGTGGAAGGTGTCGAAGTGTGGATTAGGTTGTTGCCTAAAATTTGGTAGAAGGAGTCGAAGTGTGGATTAGGTTGATGCTTAAGTTTAGGTGGAAGGTGTCGAAGTGTGGATTAGATTGATGTCTAAAATTTGGTGGAAAGTGTCGAAGTGTGGATTAGGTTGATGCCAAAGATTTGGTGGAATGTGTCAAAGTGTGGATCACGTGGTGAGCTCGAAAAATCTGACTTTCATTCTTCTATTGCATATCATTCACTAATCACTCCCATTCACACAAATTTCATCATCACCACATCTACCTCCATCTAAGGCGAAAAGCAGTACTAATAACTTTATACACCCTTGTACAAAATAGGAGTACAATGAAGGAAAGAGGAGAGTGCAAAGAAATTGAGGAAAACCAAGATGGATGGAGAAGAAGAAAGATAATGTATTGAGACGAGATGTAAATACAGTATATCGATCACATGTAAAGGCATGAGCGTAAAACATCGAAACTGAAATGTCAAATTAAATATACGATAATACTTTCCCTGTTATGAGAAGAAATGTAATGTAATAACTTGCAACGTAAAAAAATTACAATCAGAGTACCAAGAGCTTGATTTGGTTAGGGCGGGCACTGTTAGGAGATACCTGGTGGAGGAAAATCCATTTGCCGACGTGTAATTCGACACCAGATCTCACCATCCAGCATGGGAACACCACCACTTCCGAAGAGGAAAACATATACACAACTTACAGGACTATCGATATTTAAGTTGGAATTACGTAATGCAAAAGGACTCTTGGGCAAGAACATTTCTCATGACAAGCCATGGATGGCACACCGGTGAGGGTCTACTGCACCAATTGAATTGGATATTTTGTCAGTTTGGAATATTTTCTTCGTAATCTTACAGATTCAATCCAAAACGCTTAAAAAATAGTTCCAATTACTGGAAGACCATCTCAAAACTTTACTTTATTCGTTTTTGAAGCAGATTAATTAGTTACTATTTCAACATTTTATTATATGACTTAAAGAAAGGAAGTATTTCAACAGTAATTGAAAAATAAAAAAAAAAAGTCTTACGAAACACTAGTCGATGTCCCATCTACCCCCTATATAACGCTAAGCACATTAGGGGGTGAAGGGAAGGGGGGATCGGAAATTAAGGCCAGAGGCGTTGGTGCGGACGATCTTCTGTAACGCAGTTTGATTTCAGGTGCTGAGGAGGCCAAACACTGGAAGGAGACGGCGGGACGCCCGCGCCAGAAAATAAGTAGTTAACATAAACATCGGATAGATTAGTATGTACTCGGCTTTTGACGGCAGGTTTTTCCCCCTTCAAGGTTTTTTTCCCTGAGCAGTACCTTATGGTATCTTTTCCGCGGCTTTGATGCGATGGAGAGACCATTTGGGGTGAATACCAGAATTCGAAAGATTAGGACGCGAAAGGATGTAGGTATTGTGATGGCTTAAAGTCCTTCGGCCTAGCCACATAGGATCAAATAAGATAATTTGTTTGAAATAATTACCTATTAAATAAAATAAAAATAAATATTACGCTGCCTCAAAATCGTCCCCCCCTCTTTAGCGTTACGTCATTTATGGACGCCCCCTTAACGGTTTCGGTGTGAGCGTCGGGTTGAGCCGCCTCCTACTGAACGTTGCCCCGAGCTGTATTCCGCTCGCCTCGAGACGTGACGTTTCGTTGACGCGGGCGTGGCAGCGACACGGCTGGCGGCTGGCGGCGTGAACAGGTACTTCCAGTTCCAGGCGACAGGAACTCGTAAAACATCTTTGACAAAATAGGCGAGCGGCCTGTGCGCCGAAGCGGCGCGGCCGGACACGGGCAATTACGGCCCAGTTCGCTACTCTGGACGCTGGACACAGACAGATCAATGATCCATGACACGTTATTTTCGGTTTCGTAGTGTTTTTCGGAGAACGAGGTGAACAAAGATTGTGGTCGATAAAAAATTATGAAACATCTAAAATATTTTAAACTAGTTAAATGTGGCGTTGTCGACAGTGTAAACTGTTTTAAACGTATTTTCTCGTGTTGAAAATTGCCTTTATACTTCATTTCTTTCATACTTTGATCTGCTCAAATATGTTCTTACACTATCTAGCATTGAAATGAATTACCAATGAAATGTAATAGCTGTCAAATGTCATACTCCCGTTCAAAAATTCCCAACACCCAACGGCCTTGATTATTACCTCCTTAGGGGATATAAATTGGTAATTTTGCAATTTCAAAATTATAAATAATACTTGGTGGTATGAATGATGCAAAGAGTTATAATGTAGTATGGGTAAATTTTTTTACGTAATTTGTCTAACATGAACATAAATGATCTCCTGCAAACGTGTCTTCGCGTTATTTTCTAATGCTTATATAAGATCGTAATATTTAGTTCGGAAAATTCCATCGCAAAATCTACTACAACTACATTTAATTCTCCTGAGTTGCTTAACACTACCATATTTTTGTTCCATAATTCTTTAAGATTTTAAAACACCACAAAAACCGTCTGATTTATGTTCTGAAGGCTAATATATTTATAAGAATTAAAATATTACTATTTTGTATGTTTTCATCAATAAGGTGATTAAGTTGCAAGTAAAATTAAATTGAAAATAGATCTTTACACGCTTAATAAAGGTTTTCTGTAGAATTATTTACTGTTATTGTTTTCTTCGTATTTACTTTGTTCTTCAAAAAATGTTCTTCAAATTTAATATTTAAAAGTAATTTCAAATTTATTATAAAGAGTACGCATGAAGTACGAATTACGAATTCAGAACAAATTCTGTCGAATGATTTTCATTTGAAATTGTCATTTGCCAACAATTAGTGATATCATATTTTATGGAAGAAAATTATGTCGTAGACTGAAATGAACCACGGGGTACTGAGTGTCGCCACCTAATAGAACTATTTAGGGGGTAATGATTTAATTCTCTGTCCTTCGACTAGGATCACGGCGCTAAAGCACACAAAATCACATTTTTAGACATTTCTTAGAATATTCTGGCCGGATTCGAAAACAAATTACAGTTCCCCATCAAAAGACCAACACACATCAAAAGGCACCTTTAAATGTCTCGATTGATGCAGGGGAAGTGGTCAAACCATGAACTTTACATCCAAACAAACGCACACATGCACACTGGGGAGTTACTCAAATACAGTATAGGGATATCCAGGTTACCACATCTCGTTTGAAAGAGATATAGATTTAGATAAAAGACAAAAAAAAATTAGAAATATCTGTGGCACGACACAAGACATCTAAAACGTAATACGAAAAGAAACAAGACTTGGCTATAAATCAAGAAGAACAAAAAGACTCGCAGTTTAATTTCTAATGAAAGTGAAAGGAAATATGAGCAGCTATTTATAGGACACAGGTACCATTACACCAATATCAGATGATATTGAATGTTAAAGTTAAACAGAATGTAATCTAAATGTAACAAAATAAGCTTTGGTTCATTTTTATGTATCATCTATTTAAATTTTTAAATAGTGAAAATGTTTGTAGTCTCATTTTACATACTTTAACATGTAAAATCTCTATACTAATGTTTCGTAGTTTAATTATTTAACTATAAAATTATTCGATTTCATCTTCTCTTTATTGTGTTAGAGTAAACAAAAACCATCTAAATGCATCACTATTTAAAGGTGTTTTTAATAGTTTCTATATAAAATGTACACATTTTAAAGTTAGTAAGAGATAAATATGATTAATATGTTTACAATGTCAATATTTTATATGATAATATTTCTACACCTGAGAGATATAAAATGCTCCATTCTCTCACCTCTAATATTTGGTTTCTTCGATTTACAATATATAATAACAAGTCAGTAATACCATCTTTTTCCATATTGAAAAATTAGCAAGAACTTATAACAAGTCGTTCCCTAACATTAATAAAAGTAGGGATATGCCTGTTTTCGGGTTGCAGGTACGAGAGATGCTGATCACCGAGCTTGACATTTTCAGGTAATTACAAATTCCTTCACATTTCCGACGGTGACTTTCTCCGAGACTGAAAAGGAGGAGAGATGCCGCCAAAACTGCACGCATCGCTTCGAACAGGATGTCTCAGCTCTCTGAAGTTTCACATATACAAGCTCAGTCCTTGAGAAATGAAAATACTCGTACGGTACCTGTATTACTTGTATATATCTTGGACAAACAATATCCTTTAATAAGAAAAATGATAAAGAAATTAAGAGACGAATTTCAGCACTATGGAAAAAATGCTGGAGCTTGAAGTTTATTCTTTTAAACAAAAAAATTAGCATAAAAATGAAAAAGGACGTAGTTGATTCCTGTATTCTACCTGTTCTGACGTTCGGTGCTCAAACCTGGTCAATGACAAGACAAGGAAAAATCAGAAAGTAAATTGGAGTACGTCGAAGAAACATGAAAAGAAAAAAATCTTCGAACATGTTTAACAAATAAAATTAGAAATGAGGAAATAAGAACACAAATAAAAGATGCAATGCTGACTGTTCATGAACTAAAATGGAAGTGGGGAGGCAACTTCTCAAGACTCCAAGATGACAGATGGACATCCAGAACTACTTCCTGGGAATTCCACGAATAGGGAAGAGGAACGTTGGTAGACAGCATCGCAGATGGATCGATGACTGCAGGGAACTTCTAGGTATCAACAGTCAAGACCCGATCCGATGGCCGAGATCGCTAAGGCCGCAGCGATCTCGGACCGAAGGATCGCGGGTTCGAGTCCAGCCTCAAGCATGGTTGTATTGTGTTCGTATTTTCACCCCCTATCATCATCATCATCGTCATCATCGTGTCATCCTCACAGTTACCATGCCGTTACAAGAAATAGTGGTCGCTAATGACCTAGAAATTGATGCGAAATTAAATAACAAAACAAAAAAAAAGGACAAGAGTTGCGAAAGACCGTACAAAATGGAAAGGATGAGAGAAATCTATTAAAAACAGTTTTTAATGAGTGATCCATGTGAGGTCCCCAAGGTGGCTGCTCGAGGACCAACTTTATAATGTGAGGCCCTTGCGCTAATAGGGATTAAACGGGTTAATAATAATAATAATAATAATAATGATAATAAACCTGAACCTAATGAGCAGTTTCCAATTTCTAATGAGCAGGACCAATTTCTAATGAGTGCAGCAATTGAAAGAATCTATGCACCATACGGTATCCACGTATTGGGAGTCTACAGTTCCGTTAGACTCTCACCAACTCGGAACAAATACTACGAAACAGTTTAGATTTTCACTGAAAAATGCAAATATTTTATTGTTATTCTGCTTAATCTTATACTGCACCTACCCACTGCATTCAGTGCGCCACTACGTACGACATTCACGTCGTCATGTGACAGAGAGGCTCAGAGGAAGAGGTCTTAAGATAATTAAATATTTTCTATTTACATTGAGTTATTAAAGAGCAACATTTTTGATATTCTTGAAAACATTTGTTACAATATTTAATTTCTTGCAGTATTAAAGGAGACTATTTTATTTGTTCTTGACTAGTGTGCATGTTACTTCTCGGATAACCATTTTGTGTGGTTTTATTCAGCATTTTTGCTGTTGTACACCACTATAAAATACTAATACTGTAAATATGCAGGTGAATCTTTGCGATTAATGAGGAGTTAAATAACACATTTCAGTTTTGTGGGAAGCAATACATCGCCATGTTTCAGTCTCTGATAGGACATATCTTTCTTCATTCATCCATGTTTTCTTGACAATAAAGTGACGGAAAAATTATTTTGCATATTCAAATATCATTTACTGATTGATTTTCACTTGAATGGAAAGCAAAAGCTCAGTTATCTCCAAATGTGAGATTTTATATTACAGATATTTTAAATATCTCTTTTGAATATGAAAATAATTAATTTGAAACTTCTGCTCGGTGATTCTATTAAGCAATAATGATGTCCGAACAATAATGATGTTAAACATATTATAAAAACATCTCGGTAATAAACAGAATAAACATTAAGAAATATAAACGTTTAGTAAGTTTATAACGTTCCACAAAATTTTTGCAGATGTAATATAACCGGAGTGTTCGTAATTTCTTTAGGATAAGCTAAGGGTAGGTTCTGATTACATTTTTTTCAAGGCTGAAATCTGCACCAGAACCACACGACACCCAAACTAATGCTTTGGTACTTAAGCACAGTAATATTGTCTAGTCTACATAGCTAAGATGTACAAATTGGGAATTATTTTGAAAATTGTGGGAAGTTTTTTGTGTATTATTTTAACTGTTCTGTATATAATGTTTATACAGAAAGTTCTGTCCTATTTTTCTTTTTACAATTTTCTATTTGTTTAAAATCTATAAACATTACGTATAACGTTTTTAATATCTTTTAAGTAAGTTCGTAGTTACTATCCCTGCGTTGGCTTTTGTTTGATTCATTTGTGTTTTGGGGCGCGGCAACTCCTTTGATAATTAATCCCGTAAGTGAAGTGCATGATATATCGCAGGAGGTGTTATTGTTCCTCTAATGCGCGAGATCCTCATCGACTTACCGTGAACTAGTGTGGTGTCCCCCTCCAGGTATCTCTCACTAGCGGGGCACCGCCCCAGCTGGGACAGGCTCTAATCTCCCGACTGGCCTCCCGATAATATGCGGTATGTAGTGCGTTTACGTGTGTGCATAGAGTGAGGATAGGACAAGAAAGAGTGGGAAAAGATCGCGCGTGGCCCGTGGCCCGTTTGTTATGGTACTGCTCCAGTATTTGCCTTGCACTGATCGGAGAAATCCCGGAAACCTACCCATCAGAGGAACTGGGTGCTAGAATTCATCTACAGGCAGGGGTTGAGTTATATCCAAGTATTTAGCGACTGAGGGAAACACCGTCAGGGGTCGAACACTAGACCCTCCCGACGCGAGGCTGCAGAAGCTACGCCGTTGCTACCGAGCCATCAAAGCCTTCCTAGTATACCGAGAATTGCACAAACACTCAGAGTCTGAGAAAATACGAAGAGAGATGAACTGCAATAGGTCGGCGCCGAATCTTGCCAATTAGCCGGGCAAAATCACCGCTAACTCCCGCGATAAAAACATGCATTATACTTACAGGATTAATATTAGCCAACCCGAAGAATACTGTAATTCAATTTAATCATGGCACTCTCTGTGACATTTTATTGCAAAGATTTATGTATCTGGTTACTCTAAAAACATTTCACGACTCTCATTCAGGTAAGTTTTAAAATTATTTATTTCTAAGTCTTAAAAAAATTGATTGTACATTACATACGGAAATTTTAAAATTCAAGCCCTCAATGAGTATTAAATATTAAAAGTGTCAAATAATTCAAGTATTTATATAAATACATCAAGTATTCAATCAATTACAAGTATTACATGTTACAATAATTGTGAACCGATATGTCCATATGGGTTTTAAGAATTAATTTGTGCATTGTCAATTGTTTTGTCGTTCTTTAATTAAAATTTAATTTACCAACAGGCGATAAATTCCATTTTATAATAAAATTTAATCATTGGCTCTTGACCCTTTTTCACACTTCCGGTCTCCAGTTGAAGAATGTTTAGAGACCTCCCGGTTCGATATTGCAGAGGCAACAGTGTTGCCACCGAGTCATCGAAGCCGGCCTAGTACAACGAGAATGGCACAAACACTGATTAGTAACTAGGGAAAATATAAAGAGATGATCGGGAGAGGTGGCTCAGGGCATCACGAGATGTCACTGCAGTACCTCTGACCGCGAGGTCCCAGGCTCGAGTCCCGACAATGACAAGATAGTTTTCCGTGATTTCCCCGATCAATACCAGGCGAATGACGGAGCAGTACCCTAAAAAAAACACGCCACGAACCATGCGCAATCTTTCCTTCCTCTTCCTTGTTCTATTCTTACCCCTAACTTATACACACACACACACACACACACACACACACTACCCTATCTCCTTTGTTGGGAGGCCGGACGAAAAGACCTCAGAGCTTGTCCCGGCTGGAACAGAACCCCGCTGGAGGGAGATACCTAGTTGTGGAAAACCCTGCTGACTTGGTCGGCGCCGGATCTCGCCATCCAGAGGGGAAACATCACTGCCACCTCCAGCGCATAAACACGCACTACACTTACGGAACTAGTGACCTTCGCAGTCTACGCACCCGGAGTCACTAACCAGTCAACCAATCAATCAATCAATCATGAGAAGAGAGTTGCAACTCACCATCGCACACGCTTTGCACCGTCTCTGCCGCTCTCGCCGACTTCCGCCACGGGCGCCAACGCCCCCGCCCACTTCCCTTGCATTCTCAGCGCCACCACACACTGCTCCAACTCAAACACACGAGTTCACCACGCGACACAACCACTCGCACGGCTCGATGACGCTCGAATGCACTCATCCGCACATGCACGGAACTAGGGGGCGCACTCTCCAAAACAGAACCGACGACGCGGTGAACAGTTTTTTAATCAAAACGATTGCTGAAGATTGATTGTCACGAAAACGAACTCATCAACCGCTACACGACATGAACACACCGTGACGTATAGTTTTCTAGGAAAGTGAGAATTGCTGTTACACTCACTGGAAGTACGAAATGAGATTTACCGCTGCGAAATTGTAGTGAATCTGCGTGATGTGACACGAACAAAATGGGATTTATATTCTGTACATATTTCGTATGTACGTTGACAGGTGTAGTTAATTAGCGAAATAACGAGATCGTTGTATTGAAAGCGCTGAAAATTAAAAAAAAAACTCTTTCACCATTCGATCAAACGTTAATTTAAAAAGTATTATGTGTTCAGCTGGTAAATCTCGTGTAGCGTTAGCTCCCGTGCTGATTGCGAATAAAATTAAAAGTTCCTCTCCGAGCAGATCGTTTTAGCGTAGCGCCGATCGTTCAAATGTGGAAATAGTGGATCATGCGTCTTTATGCACTACAAATTGTTTGATTTTCGACGTTATGATGCCATAATGCTTAACTTAAAAAGTGTTTTATTGCATGAATGGCGCACTATAACGCACTATAACAAAATAAAGTCGTTAAGCACGACAAGAACTTGTTACGGGTTATCACAAAATCGTATTATCAATGCTTCGTGTGATTGAAATAATTTACTTGCTCTAAAATGGTAGAGCATTTAGAATTTATGGAGAATTGTCATGAAAAATACGCGTTCTACGAATTTCGAAGCCGTACTTTCTAAAACATTGGCAAATCTCAGAATGAACCACGAATACGATCCAAGAAATATCGATTTAACCTACAATCATTGGATACGTATGATTGAAATATTGAATTCATATACTCTTTTTTTTAGCGCAATATTTTACGCACTCACGCTGCGGTTTACTAAACAAGGCATCTATTTTTATTCAGACTGGGTAAGATTAACCTAAAAAGCTAAGGACTAAAGCAGTTACTGTTCTAACGTAAGTCACGTGACTCATTTGCATGACGTCAATACGTTACACACGCGCTTAAATAATCAAACGAAAGTGACTTTCACCGTTAGCACAAACCAAATTAGCAATCCCTGAGGCCAACGGAAACTATTCACCGTTATTTCACCTATTCACCAAAGTTAGCACGTCCGAAGTCGGATAATAAAATACCAAACGCACGTTACATTCATCGTCAGCACAAAAACCAACTTAGCACCCCCCTAAGCCGAATAACAAACTATCAAATGGACGTTACATTCACTGTTAGCACAAAACAAGTTCGCTCGCCCCTAAGCCGAATATCGCGAAGTCCGACTGATCGTTTCGCGGCCCGAAGGTGCGTCAGCCTCGCTGCTAGCTCCGTGGGGGGGGGGGAGCGAGGGGGAGGAGGACACTGTGCCCCTGGGCTACTTGGCAGCGCTCCCCGCCTGCAGCCCGATGACCCCCCCCCCGTCCATGGCCGATCCTCTTCGGAATACGAAATCGTCATAGCCACGTGCTGCGCGTCACACGCCGTCCACTGCGTGGCACTGACCTACACACGGCCGCCGAACAAGAAACCTACAATGATGCTAAAAGAAACATCATCACCTACATACTAATACCATACCATATATGATACCATAATGCCATATATAATCCCCATACTGCTAAATGGAGATTGTGTATATTCCTAATCCAATACGCTCCCAAAACATTTAAACAAATGAATGTAGAAATTGGTAATCGTATATTTTATGTGGATTATATGATGTTTCCGGTTCCATTACTTTCATAACTCTCTCGATTTTTGCAAATAAATTGGAGTATATTCAGGATTATTTTGCGGATTACAACTCTGAGAAAGATAATGCGTTTTAGCACTACTGTAGGATGCATGTGCAGGCCCTCCGAGGCCCTAACGTTTTTATTTCGCTTTTTAAGAGAGCTTTCCATCCTTGTAATCTTTCTTCTATCTTTCTGTTTTCACTCACTTTCAGTCACTGGCAAACCAAACATTCTCACAAGGTATACAGGTAATTCCTGAAATTTAATTCTATTACGAGTACGTCAATGCATATACAGGGCTTTTGAGGCTTTACTAATAGTTATTTAAGAACCCATTAATAGTTATTTCGATTACTATTCGTTTGACATTTAGAGTTGAATTTTATTTGCATTGAATTATTGAAATTGAAACTAGAAGAAATTTAGTTATTAAGAATAAAAACAATTTTAATTTCCTGCTACGGAGTAGGGAGAAAGTTATGTAATGCAGCGCGAGAAAATAGCGAATTTTCTTCTCAAAAACTCTCACAGGGCCCTGGTAACAAAAAAGGGGATAACACGATTTGCTAAATTAAAAAAAACCTCTATCACGTAGTGTAGCCAGAATCCATGTTTTGTGGGTCCTCGATACCGAAAAATCGAAGGACGGCAAAGCGTCTGTTTGTCCGTCTGTGACAAACACTAGCATCTAAACTCTTCAGCCGATTTTCTCCAAACTTTATATTCCCTAATCGATCTCTCTGAAAGCCCCTGGGATATTTTCAACATTCTCAAAAAATAGGTCCATCGTTTTTTGATTAAGTTGCATTTTATAATATTGAATTTTATAGCATTGGAAAGTATAAAGGACGTTTCAGTGAATGGTGCAGGTCATATGTTCGTTAAAAACTCTGATTTTTCGAAAATTGCAAAAGTTCGAACATTTTTTCGGAGTCTTACTAAAACACAAATTTAAAGATTGAGATTTTTTCCCTTAATGAAACCTTATTTAAAGACAGATTTTGAAATACGTTTATGTGCAATTTTTCGAAAATTTGAGTACTTTTCACATAATTTTGCGTAAAAGTACGGACGAGAAACTATGTGCTGTTTTAGCACCTCTAGTTTTTAGACAGAGACTACTAAAAGCAGCTCTTTTTTAGGGTACGACTAGCGTGCTAACAGAACAATTTTTAGCTCCAATGTTAAATGTGAGGTAATGCTTAATTGATCCGATAAATCTGTGAATGCAACAAAGAAAACAAAATTCTTGTGTCTGACCGGAAGAACCAAAGTAACTAAAAAAGACAAAAGGGACACCTCTGGATTGAGAACAACTGGGGGACATGGGGCAAAGGGGATATAAAGAACAAATGGGGGAAAAGGTCAAAAAGGAAAAATGAACAAAAAGGACACAAATACAAGATTTATTTAGTAAAAAAAGAAAAAGAAACAGTAAAAACTGTATGTGGCGCATGGGGGAGAAGATTATCTGCGCACGTTTTTTTAATTAAACGATGAGTAAAAGTTTATCATAAATAAATAAATAAAAATAAATTTTAAAAATCGCACGATTAGCAATTTTTGGAAAAATAGACATTTTCGTTTCCGAGTTATAGAAACCTTATTGGCATCGGTAAACGAATTGCAAGTATGATTTTTCTGCAATGCTAACACAATATTAACTCTCTCTTAGAAATAGTGTAGGACACCTGTTGTAAAAGAGCTTTTATTTTGCTCGTAGATGTCGCCACTCGGCCTCGGCCTATCGGTATTTCCTACTCGCAAAACAAAATTCTCTTTTACCTCTTGCATCATAAATAACTATTATGCGCATTTTTTTGAGAGCGAATTGCGCAGAACCTCAGAGATCTTGCCTTTGCATTTATGTGGGTTTTGATACTTTTAGTTTGTCTATAATCTAAAAGTATCGTGAATCTCGGACCGAAGCGAAGAAGTAAGCGATCTCGGACCAAAGGATTACGGGTTCGAGTCCCGCCTCGGGCATGGTTGTATTGTGTTCGTCCTTTCATCCCCTATCATCATCATTATCGTGTCAACCCACAGTTACCATACCGTTACAAGCAATAGTGGTCGCCAATGACCTAGTAGTTGATGCGACCTTAAATAACGAAAAAAGTCGTCGTATTTTGCTTCCCTGCTATTGACACGACGTTTCATCAAGGTTGCCTCTTTTTATTTGGAGTTTTAATTGAACCACTTGTTGCACATTGTAGTCCTGTTGCAAAAACTTGCTGAACGTACACCGACTACTGCCGCTGTTTTGTCCACAACTCGTTGCACTAGTTATCTTGGATTTTCCCTTTTTAAACAGTTGTTTTGGACAACATAAAAATCAAAATGAAGAAACGTAAACGAAATTATATTTAACTTTGACGTGGTTAAAACTATATGTCTCAGAAAAAATATAACAAAACATAGGTAAACAATAGGAACGCGTACTTTCTAAACACACTATAATGCGGCTGACGGAGCTCGTAGCTGTGGTTGATCCACCTGCCGAACGTGTCCCTTCCTACAAAAATAATAAACTGTAAAACTATTCACCGTGATATTCACCAGTGTGGTAAATATTATGAATTCGAGATATACTTGTACTACTAATTTAATTGACCTAGAGGCCTCTTTGGTTCGCTTGCTCGATTTCCATAACGCGACGTTAGGTTCGATTCCCGGTCAGGCAAGATTATAGTGCGCAATTTGCTTGCCATGACTCAGTATACGTTGCGTTGTGACGATGAGAAAATTCACTTTTCAGGTTGAGATGACCGGAATACGGCGTGGGGATGTCTTCGTGCTGACCACACGTTCCCCCTTAACCCGTCGCCGCGAGGTCGGAACGCCGCTGGTAAGGCCATGGCCGGGCTACGGGCCGACGCGCCAAGTAGAAACAAAAAAACAAATGAAATTGTTATATACAATTAAGTTCACGAGGATTTTAAAACGGGTTTGATATCTTTAAAAAGGGGGGGGTATTCCTTTACCGGAAAGACACTGTACTTCTTTCTCAGCGTCTGATTAGCCATTGGCGTGCGGGGCCTCCTGGTCATGGGAAATACGTGCTCTGCGATATTAGAGAGATCACTATAAGAATTGAATTGAATTGGATTGGATTGATGCCTTATTTTACGTGGCGAGACTTGGGCCATCAGACCCGCTCTTCCGTCTGACCACGCAAATTTCGCTACGCTTCTTTCACTAACTAGCAGAGGAAGGAGGTATTTCTTGGGCGAGAAACTGGCGATTTTGAATTTAACTCAGAGGCGTCATTTAGGCTTGAGGATCTTTTACATGCAAGTAAATCTACTAATATGGGACGGCCGGCTTTACTTCTCCTCCGAAGGGAAGGATTTTTTCGCCCTTATCCACGGCTTCGATCGGGTTAACTGTTACACCATTGCCGCTTTGGGGGCGCTTTAACTGCTACTTCTTGAATTTTGCTGGCAACAGAAGTGCAGGTTATGTCTATGCTCTCAATTTGTCAGTGTGTTCGTTTACAGTTAGTTCATTTGTAACTGGATTCATCAGTATCTCTTGCAATGTCATCGCTCAGCATGGCATTCATTTGTTTCTCGACCTGACGAATTGGTTCCTTGTTGGGGTAAAACTATATTTGTTAGCTGGGGGTTGGGGAAACTTTCAGCACTAGTTGCGTCGTCTCACAGACGCCGCCTTTGTAATCTAGGGTTGAACCAGCGCCTTGCAACTCTCCATGAAAACCGAGGACAAAGCTGGAGGGTACATTGATTGGAGACGCTAGTGTCGCCAGGTGAGACTGCAGGTTAAGCTCACCAACTTTCGCCCATAAAAATTGGCTAATTAGTAAGAAACACGAAAAGTGTCTTTTAATGTTCAATTATTCATAATCTATACATACAAGAAATCTCTGAAGAAAGCGCGAACATCGACGCTATCTTTTGTAACACTATGGGCCTGCTTACGACCCGCAAACTCACGCAGCAGCCAAACGCGTTTTTCAGTATGCTCTCGTAGCGCAGTCGCTTACCTTTCCCCACTGAGGTTCCGGCTTTGATTCCCGTCGAATCATCGTAGAACCTCATGTGAAATTTCTTACGATAAAACGAGGTTGCATGCGTCACAGGTGCTAGTCCTGTGAAGTGTTCTAGACCCTACCTCTATCCTAATTCCGATCGCTGGGTAGTGACGTAGGAGCGTGTCAACTCAGACGCACCGAATTTAAAAGAAAATGTCGTTGGCAGCAGTTCGTGTTTTAGTTCTTGTAAGAAGATGATGCAGCAGAGCGCGCCACTATGATGGTTTCCACCACGTTATATGGGAGTTGGTCTAGAGCAAAGTCGGCGTCGTGGCGAATGAAATTGAATTAAATGAAATGTATGTAGTGAAGTGTAGTGTTGTGATTTGTTGTATGTTTGAATGAATGTGTTTGCAAATATAATCTAAGTGTGAATGCGTGTGAGAATGATAAAAAAATAAGAATATTTTTAAAGAACTGGAAATTAAATAAATTACGATTATATAACTAGCAAACCCCAAAGTGGGTTGGTAATTAGTTGTAAGTTAGTTTTAGTTAGTTAATTTAAGATAAGGTCCTCCCAAACTGCAAAAGCCTGCAGTAAAAACGTATCCCGAAGGACAAATACATTCCCGCCTCGCCAGGGCAACTGGAGCGGGGAAAATCGAAAAGCAATGCGGTTGAGGGTTGAGAGTTGAGAGGAGCAACTCACCTGTTGACGGCGAGGCGAAGCGCCGGCGTGTTCCGCGCGCCGAGCGCCGTCGCCGCCGCCCCCGCCCCCACCGCCGCCAGGCTGCTGCCCAGCGAGCCGCGCCGCAGGTAGCCGCCGCCGCCACCACCTCCTCCTCCGCCACCGCTCTTGGCCATCTGCAGATTAAAACAAAAGCTGTATCAAGGCTCTTGCGCGATATGGAAGTGCACGACGATTTGTAAGTGAATCATGTGTAACTTGGCAACGTTTTGTTTTACTTTCTCGCCATTACTAACATGAGAACAGAAAGTATGAATAAATAAATATTTTTATTGATGGCGAGTCTCAAGCCATTTAGCCTGATCTTCCTCCTGACCACTTAAAAAAAAATACAATAGTTAATGAAAAGAAGGTCTTTCAAAGAGAAATACGTACGCAATTTGAAATACGTATGCAATTTGGATGAGGGGGTTTACAGGAATATAAGCGAGGGAGGAAGGAGTAGATAAAAAAGGGAATACTCTCACAGCATTGATGAAATGAAATTTATGAGTGTAATCGTGCCCGGAAAACTGCGATATTGCCGGATCCTGGCACGGAAAAAAGTTAATAAATCCAGTTGCTAAATATAGAAAATAACCTCTAACACGTGGTGTAGCCAGAAATCCATATTTTGTGCATCCTTTACACCGAAAAATCGATTGACGCAAAACGTCTGTCATTGTGAGTTACTTTTTCATGAAGCCCCTAGGACATTCCTATGTGTCTATTTATCCGTCCACCCGTCTGTGCACAATCCTAGCGCATAAACCGTTCAGTTGATATTCTCCAAAAATTGTAAGTTTTTGAATTGTCATTTAATGCCACTTTCAAAACGTTTCTAACCCTTCTCGCTCTCTATGCAACATGGTGGCCAACATCACGTCTAGCTTTTCCAACGAAGTGCCCCTGCTGTGGTCACGTGGTTCGCGACGCTAACTGGTGCTGTGCAGAACGAGCAAAAATACTTGCGCCGGAGCAGCTCCCCCATATCTTTCCACCATCAGTATATTCTTCCGCCAACCACATAGTCTGAATACGGTTGATGATGCATCGAAGTGCCAATTCAGTTCGAGGTTGTTGTTTGTTAGCCAATGCCCACCCTTGGCATGTTAGCCATTAGGTGACGCGCCGACCAGTATAGACGTGCAGACTTTCCCCTCAGCATTAAGGAATACGCACGTCTATAATGGTCCAGCGCGTAGGTGGCGAATCACTGTTGATCATTTAGCGTTACCCAGGGGATAAGTGTGGTAGACCACGGACGTGAGCAACTTTGTCCCCACTGTTAATTATTATTATTATTATTATTATTATTATTATATTATTAATATTAATTCAGTTCGAGGTTAGGGATAGTTTTCACTATAAATTTACGAGTTTGTTCCGATATCGTCGCTAAATTTAATATTCTAAGAATTAATAAACGAATATCGAAAAGCCTGAGGAAATATTAATTTGAGCAAGGTGAACCTTGGCGATTACATAATACGAAAGGAAGGAATGTAGAAAAGTTGTAACAGAACGGTACAACATATGCACCATATGGACAATCGAAACTTCACCAAAATATGGGGTCACATCGTTCAATTCTTATTATGCAAAACGAGTGAGGTTTACAAATTTTAGAACATTACAATCACTATTTATTTTTAACCTAGATATAAACATATTTCTGAAAATGTCATTGAAATGTTTTATTTTTACCATAATTTGGTCCTGAATGTCGTAGTGTATGTGTTATAGCAGAAAAACCTGCTCTCTATCTAATTTTAAAAAAACGTAATCCATCATGTATAATTACAATCACTGATAGTTTTGTAATGAGAAACTTACTTCAAACGATTGCAGGGCATTGAGTTCATATACGCTTACTAATTTTTGTAGTAAATAACCCTCTTCGCTTCGCTAACTATAACCTCCCATTCACACACGCTTATTTGCGCTAGACCAAGATCTCCTTGAAAAAAGGTCTTCACACAACTAAACCATTTCTGCAACTGTGTGACAAGTTGTAGAATATATTATGGATCTAACTATTTAATACATACTTGGATAGTAGGAACTCTTATTTTATTCCTAGTAATAGCCGCCGCCTTTATAGGATATGTATTACCATGAGGACAAATATCATTCTGAGGAGCCACTGGTATTACTAATCTCATCAGCAATTCCATATTTAGGAACTGATCTAGTTCAACGAGTATGAGATGGATTTGCAGTTGATAAAGCTACATCAACTCGATCCTTCACATTCCATTTCTTGTTGCAGCATTTGTAATAATTCATCTACTTTTTCTTCATCAAACATGTTCAAATAATCCTATAGGAATTAATAGCAACTTAGATAAAATTCCATGTCATCCATATTTCACTTTCAAAGACATCATAAGATTTTTAATCATACTATCATACTATTATTAACTATTCTATCACTCACAAATCCGTATTTATTAGGGAACCCAGATAATTTTACCCAATCCTTTAGTAACCCCAATTCATATTCAACCGGAATGATGCTTTCTATTTGTCTATGCCATTTTACGATCGATTTTTAATAAACTAAGAGTAGTAATTGCCTTAATTGCATCCATTGCTATTTTATTTATCCGACCTTTCACATCCAATAATAAATTCCAAAGACAACTGTCTTGATACAACTAAACCATTTCTGCACTATCTAACGACGTAATGAACACATGAAGGCAAGTAAGCATTCATTCTATTATTTATACTATTTTATTAAATTTTAGTGGTTATACAATAATACTGATTAACAAGCCATAACAGGTCTGGGCCCCACTACCTTTCATTTAACGCAAAAAATAACCCAAATTCGTGAGCGGAAGTTCAATTTTCTTTCTAAACGGAATCCTTAAGTGTATAAAATATATAGATTCGTTAATAGGAAAATTCATAATAAAATGACTTAATGGATTTTAATGGATTTATGTTTTATATATATTATTATTATTATTTTATGTTATTTATATTTTAATGTACTTTTATGGATTTAATTTATTTTCAGCGTCAGCTATGACGAATCGAAACAAATGTTTCAGACAAGTTTCGAATTTGTTCCAGACAGTACGTTTCCCCAGAAAAATGGGAATCCATTTACAATTTCATAGTTGCGTCTCCTTCCGGTCCACGTAATCTGGGGGCTACGATATCCAGGCACGCCTTCATTGCCTCAAGAGTCGAGCCCAGTCTCTAATCTACGATTAACATGGAAATCGATTTTCCAACGTGCACGCACGTGCTACGGCTATTCCGGAAAGGGAACCTGGATTACGCCCTACCGCGCTTTAAAGCCTGTGACCTCATGAATTATTCAATTGATTAATACCGTAAATCAATTTTTCAATTACGAGAATCCACGTTAAAAGTTTTAATTATAATAATAATTCACTGACGTTTAGACTTTCACTTTGTCGGCACGCTTCAATTCTGCATGTAAAAATTAAAAAAAACAACAGAAATACTATATTTCGTAGCTGAATTAATCCAGGTACGAAGCAAGAATTACAAAGCCTGTTTCTCATCCTAATAGTCCTCCTGGAACAACACAATTATTGTGAGACAAGACGTTGATCTCGTATAAGTGTTTTAAAATATATTATTAATTGTTAAAGAATTATTGCCCAACCGAATTATATAACCATTTAATATTTTTTATTTCCTAAATAATTAACAAACGGCGATCAACTATACTTGTATTACAGAAGATTGTTACTCTTTTATGATTCAAAACATGGCATTTATGTCCTTTTTGCTTTGAGAATACTAGAAGTACACCTGAAATTGGTATGTATTTTTGGGATGAATAGATATCATTATCTTTTTTTAAAGTGGAAGTAGTAAGACCTCGAACGTCTCCTGAACTGAATGAGGAACAAATTTTCTTTGATTTATATGTTTTGAAGATCAAACTAACATCCAAGAAACACATAATGGGTTTAATAATTGGATGAAAATCTTAATTTAATTTACTTTTGTATTTAAATAATTCGGACCAACATCGAGTTCAAAGAAAGGAGTGTGAAAAATTGGGGAGTTTGCTCCATCATACATTATTGAGATGAACTGAATCCAGTTTTAAAGGTATCCTTTGAGACTGTGACCAACAAAACATTGTAGATTGTTTCCGTTCCTTCAATATACCTCCTACATACAGGTGAATGTTTCTAACAAAAATCGTTGTTCGTTTCTATTCAAAATAAAACGTCTCGGATCACTTTGGAACATTGAGAAAGTATAAAACACATTGCAAACAGATGAACAGACTATATTTTCCACTATTTTGTGCTTTGAATTTTTTGCTACCATATGGATGTCAATATTCTTCCTTAGAGTTTCTGAGATCTATTTTGTTCGAATGTACGAGTACTTCCTGCAATGCGACCATCTTTGAAAGGTAGCACTCTCAGAAAACTGAACACATTCCAGGTAATGCGCTTGTTATCTGAAACAACAGATTATGCTTTCCCCAAATGCCACTTACAGTTTCTATTAGTTTTTGACAAAAATAAATCAAACAAAACAAACAATTACAACTAACACAATGTAATAGAACCTAAGGAAATGTACTGAGCCAGGAAAAAAGAAACACTTGTTTTATTTTCTTCTTTTAAAAAGCCTTTTTTTCCTGAATTATTTTGTAGGTTATACAGGCACACAACGGAAGATGCCGACAGCTCTGGCCAGTAAGTTACTGACGACAATAAAGATAGCAGTTTATTGACCGCTGGGTCGCGCGCCCGGCAACAAAACAAAATATTAAGCTCCTCAATGTGGAAGAGCCGCCACGGCATGACTGAGGTAATCCTGATTAATTACACGTTCTACAGGGATTAATTGAGAGACCATGATTCGTAATTCCAAAGGTCAAATGAATTTAACCTCATTGAGAGCAGTACTCGTGAAACGATTATTATTGTCATTGTCATATGAACATTACGGGCAGCAAGGTCTGCCTGTTGCAAAGGAAAATCATCATGTATGCCGTATGAAATTTCTTAGCGAAAGACACAGGGACGAAGCAAGCATTACAAAGCCTGGTTCTCATCCTGATAGTCCCCCTGAAAAAAATCGTAATTTACTACTGTAGTATTGTACCCGTACTGTACCGTGCTATGTCACATTCATTTTGCAATTTTGTATGCGACAAAGATGTTTGCAGAACGAAAGAAACAAAAATTATTAATTTAATTTGCATGCGGGAAAGGAAAGTAATTGTAATGGTTTAAAAATTATCCAAAATATAACTATAAAATGTGAAACAAATGGCGCCGACACATTTTCAGAGCATTTAAATGATATTAGTGCGTGCTACTACGATTTTGAAGCATTTTGCAATACTTTTCGATTTTTTTACAGAAATAAAACTTTTTGGATGATAGCCTATGCAGTCTACAATATCTCACAATAGACTATAATTGAGAATTTTGCAGACAAATAATTGTTTAATAAAAATACAAAATAATTACTATTGCTGTACGACTAACAATAATTCGAATCTTTTTGCCTAATAGACCTAATTTGGACAGCACTTTTTACTCCCCGTAAGTCATACAATAATTTGAACCTATTTTTGTCCAATGGTAAGTAAATTGGAAATAATTTTTAGATTTATTAATAATTCTGCAATTAAGTTTGAGAACTTCGTGGCAGAATACACAAACTTAACATTACAGAACTTAACAACTATACAAAATCTACAAACTTTACAAAATAACGGGAACATTTCTCCGTGCAATCTTTCATAGAACTCCACTTCACCAAACTTCACTTCACCGCACTGCGATTCAGCGAGCTGTAATGCCTTTCTTACTCAATCGTTCCTCTCAGTTTCACGTCACTGCACTGCACATAATAATAATAATAACAATAAACAATAACAACCAACAAATAATATAATAACATTAATAAAACAACAAATAATAATAAACACATAATAACAATAATAATAAAAATAATAATACTTAATTACAAAGAAGACATAGGTAATTACACTGAATTTTATTAAATATATTTATACATATCTACATTCAAGAAACTAAATTTATTTTAACTTTCTCAGGCTTTGAGGAAAGGGATCGAAGATTGTCACAGGCAAACTGTTCCAGTCCCTAAATAGTGGCAATTCGCGAATGAATATTTCCCAACGTCCGTTTTCTGAATTCTGTCTGAACTTTTTTACTTTCTCTCCATTAAGGAACGTACTTTGTAAGGTAGTATGTTCGTTAGATTGACCACGGTGAAGTACCCCAAAAAGTTCTTTAAATGAAAGCAAAGTCTCAGTTCTTCAAGATGGTAAAAAAAATGGCCTTTACGGACCTAATTTTTGAATAAAAGAAGTTTAAAAAGTACAGGCTCTTATGGACAATTTTCGCGTTAAATAAAAGTTAAAAACGAAAATTAATATTTCTAAAAGGGTCAGTAGGAGAGATTAGAATTGTTTGTCCATTCAGAAAATGTATATTCTTCATTTATTTCACATTTTAAATGAGAGAGAATGGCGCGTTCTTTAGAATTTTTAGAGGAAACATGTTATTCTATTAACTCATTATAAATTCGAAAGTACCTTAGAATACCGAAGTGCGAAGAAATGTTTCGAAAATAGATCGTCTTCAGGGGAAATTCGGGTCTCGAACCTAACTCCCAGTTTGTGTTGTTACTTTTGTTATGGATTTGTAACTTCGATCTTAATAAAAAATGGTTTTACAAAAAAAAATTCCTTATCTAAACATGTGTTATGTAATCTTTTGCGAAAAGCAGAAATATATGGGGGCCGAAATGCAGAAAAACGGGCTTGAATACAGAAAATATATAGAATCTCAGTTTGCAACAACTGTTTGTATACAATTAGAGACTACACCGAGCATCCAAAAGGAAAGTAATATTAATTTTAGCAAGGACATTTATTGTATTGTATACCATTCGGATTGTATAATTGTAAAGAACTGTATCAAGTATTGTACTTCAGATTCTGGATCAATGACTCCCAATTCGATCAGGTTTTCGTCCAGTTTCCCTGATCCTCGAGCAAATGCTTAGATGGCCCCTTGTTTTGCTTCTGGACTTAAATCTAACTTCACTATTAACTACTTCAAATTAGCTTCTCCCTATAGCACGTCACACACAGTTTTTAAACTGTTTTTGACGTAAATAAATAAATAAACCCTTTCTATCCATACAAATCTGTGCCGGCATCCTTCATACTTCTATCAGAACAATGAGTTGATTGCTATCTTTCCGGCCGCCAAAGCGGGTATTTCAGACAATGGAGCAATCCTATTACTGTGCAGACTTATTTGAA